GTGTTCTCATTGTTCAACACCTGCCTATGAGTGAGAACATGCAGTGTTTGATTTTCTGTTCTTGTGTCAGTTTGCTGAGAATGATGGTTTCCAGGTTCATCCATGTCCCCACAGAGGACACGAACTCATCGTTTTTGATGGCTGCATAATATATCATGGTGTATATGTGCCACTGTATTTAGAATTCTTTAGTCTGATTTTCATTGGAAGGATAGTAATCATGGCTGGGCGTGGTGGCTCATGTCTGTAACCCCAGTACTTTGGGAGGCTGAGATCACAAAGTCAGGAGTTCAAATCCAGCCTGACTAACATGGTGAAACCCCTCCCCAGTCCCGTCTCTACTAAAAATGCAAAAATTAGCCAAGCGTAGTGGTGCATGCCTATAATCCCAGCTACTCTGGAGGCTGAGGCAGGAGAATCGCTTGAACTCAGGAGGCGGAGGTTACTCTAGCCTGGGTAACAGCGAGACTCCATCTTAGAAAAAAAAAAAAAAAATGGTTAGTAGTCAATATCATTATCAAGAAACCTCTGTACTTTCTTTTCATCTGATTGTTAATGCATTACTTTGGGTCCTTGGTGTTTATTTATTTAGGCCTTCTTAGATTATACTGAGATCAGTTGACATGCAAATTGAGCTTAACCCTCTTCTTATCTCTAGGATGTTTTGGAAGAATGTATGTCTCTTCCCAAGCTATCTTCTTATTCTGGATGGGTGATAGATCACGTCCTACCCCATATGCAGGAGAACCAACCTGTCTCTGAGACTTCGCCATCCTCTATGTCAGCTTCAGCCCTAGACCAAATTCCCAAATCTCCTGACACAAGCTCTGCCTTTTCCCCAGCCTCCCCTGCAACACCAAATGGAACCAAGGTAAGGTTGTGATCAGCCTAAGATAAAAGACATGGTGGCTGCAAAGTCAAAATGTTTAATATTTTCATATGATAGTGACCATACCCTAGGGAAAATAATGGTTGCTCACTGTTGCAGCAGCTTGTAGAGACAATGTTGACAGCATCATTCAGTGTTCTCTTGAGAAAGACCCAGAGGGAGAAAATCCCCTTTATTCTTAGTACCCAGAATAGTGTAATTAATTTCATGAGCAATTGGATAATTTTTTTTTTCTAATGAACACCGCATCTGTTTAACTGATACAGTCTCCCTTGTTGTGTTATCTGCTGGAAGAAGGCCTAGAGTGAAATGTATACCTGCTCTTAAAGTTTACGTATCTTCTGTCACTGGTTCTGTGGGAGTTTTTACCCTATTCCTGGCTCTGTTTTGTCCTTGCCTTTGTTTGGTTTTTGTTGTTTGTTTCTCTCACTTAAAAATGTTAAATTAGGGCCTTTTCCTCTCAGTAGTCCCCTCTCCCACTAGAGAGAGAGCTGTTTTCCTTTCTCTTGCCTATTAAACCTGCACTCCTAAACTCAAAAACCAAAAAAAAAGTTAAATTGGACCCAATATACTGGCTCATGTTCATATTTTCAGTGCTTTGGGAGGCCAAGACAGGAGGATTGCTTGATCCCAGGAGTTTGAGACCAGCTTGCGCAACATAGTGAGACCTTGTCTCTGCAAAAAATGAAAAAATTAGCTAGGCATGGTGGCTCAAGCCTGTAGTTCTAGCTACTTGGGACATTGAGATGAGATCTTTTGGGCCCAGGAGTTCGAGACTATGGTGAGGTGTGATCACACCATTGTACTCTAGCCTAGGCAACAGTATGAGTCCCTGTCTCAAAAACGAGTTAAGTTTTGGAGGTTTTAAAAAATTCTTTTTTATATGCTTCTAGAGGTAGTTTGTGTATATACAAATATAAGTGAACATGTTTTCACCCCCCGCTTTTTTTTTTTTTTTTTTTTTTTTTTT